TGAGGCCGGCCGTTAGCCGCGCGCGCAGGCCCCGCCCGCCCCCTCGGGCCGCCTGAGAGGCAGGCCCCTGCAGGGGGCAGGTTGTGGTTAATCCTAGAGAGCTGCTAGCTCATCGCCAAAAAAATCCCGGCACATCAGGACCCCAGGACCCGAGGACTGAAAAAAAAAACCACCCAAAACAAAAGAAAAAACCCTGAGCAGAGCACAGCATCACGCCCGGTGCACGTCTGGCTGAGGAGACCCCGCTGAGAAACTACGAGGAGGCCCGCGGTGAAGCCAGGCTGCAGGGATCAGCACGGCTGTGCTCCAGCACGACAGGCTCGATGAATCCCCACACGCCCTACTGCACCAGGTATTGATCCAAGAGCGCGTTGGTGCTTACCTTAAGCACTGCCGAAACACCTTCCTCCTCAGAAGCCAGGAGAGGGGCCGTGTTTTTAGCATCACCTCTCTGAATTACTGCCCAAAATAGGTATCCTTAAGGCACAGTAAGCCTAGCCTTGCTCTGCTCCCCTGAGCTCCCAGATGTGCTGAACTCTCCACAGAAAAGCACACAGCAGGTTAGCTACAGGGGTATCAATAGATTTTTGTGGCATTTTCCGCAATGGAGAATGGCTGAGAAGGCCTTGCTAGATGTAGCTCTTTGTTCGTGCAAATACACAAAAAGCATTGCATTTAAAATAGTTGTTTTCAGTCTGTGCTTCACAAGTCTAGGGAAGGAAAAAACTGAGCATTTAAATGAGTTATTCAGGGATCCGTGCTGTCACTGTACAGTTCTCAAGAGCTGAAAAAAACATTAACTGAATATAAAGGCCGGCTCTGCAACAAGCCCCAGAAATTTCTGCCTACCTATTCTTCTTTTTCCCAATCTGATCACAAGAGACTGATTCCTATTCTTGTGCTCTATTGCATGGCAGCCTGCAAAGTGAATGCACACCACTCATCTCAGGACAGAGACTATTGCACTTCTATGGCATTTACCATGCGCTTAGTCCAAGCATAAATGATGATGGTCCAGGTACAGCAGCTGGTCACTGTAGCGCTTGTGCAGCACAGTGAAGGAAGCATCTGCTTATGTTCAAAGTGATCAAACTTAGGAGGAAATTGTTTGGTTTTAAAAATACAAATGGCATGGTTCTAGAGGTTAGAGCGGAGTTAACAGGGCTCTTGGTCACTGAAGAATCAATGCAGCAGCAGGTCTTGTCAAGAGAAATGCAGCTGTAGAGTAACAGATGTAAACAAAAAACCACAAATCTTCATAGCACTAGTGCTTTCATTCTGCCAAAGCTGACATACTCTTTTCTCCTTCTGAAAAAGAATCCTATTGAACTTTTTTTTTTTTTTTTTAGGATTTTGCCTGAAAGCCACAGCAGGGCAGATTTATTGTGCATAAGATTAGAGTTTAGTTTGTCACACCGCACAGAGCTCACCACTGCAGTTTAAATAAACCCACCTTTTCCTTTCCCCAGTCCTCATTTTACTAGCCCACCTCCCCACACACACGTTTACAAGCAGTACCCTCTACCTGTCTGAGTAAAGCTTAGACTAAAAGCCATTGAAGCCCTGTAGTCCTTCCCCCAGACTGCCTGGCTACAGCCCCAAACCCTCAGGAACACCTACATTTTCAAATGAGACATAGGTGACCAGTGTAACTTTTTTTTAACACAGAAAAACTGTGTTCATTTTATAATTTTCTTAGAAAAAAAATGTAACATTTCAAGTTCTCTTAAGATAGGTAGCTGAAGGTGAAGGACATTTGAAGGCACAGAGCATCTATAACATACGTTCAATAGCCATTTTAAAGATCCCGAAGGACACTCAACTTGCATAAAAGCATCAGTGAATAAAACCCAAGACTAGATACTGGGAGCACAAGCAGCTCCCTGGCCCAGTAAGAGCATTTTATACCATCCGCAGCTTTGTGCAAACCACCACAGCTAGTATAGGGAGTTATGGTCATAAATCTTAGTTAAATAACACCATCAAAAACAGCCCTCAGGAACTCTCAGATGTTTCCTGGAAATATATCTGCATAAAAGCAGGCTAAACTGTACTGTTTAAGGGCAGTCCATAAGCCTTTTAAAGATAGCTTGTCCAGAAATATTTTGAGTCATTCCCTTACTTACAACAGAGAGGATGCACAATACAAGACTTGGAAGACTGCAGAAGGTGCATCCATTCACACATACAGAGAAGGGGTTTAGGAGGAGGGAGGAAAGGAGAGTACTGGGATTACAAAGAGTCACAGTGCTTAACATGACACCTCCAAGATCTTCTGGACTTAGTGCAGGAACCCTAACCTTCAGGGAGGCAAAAGAAATGAAAAAAAGATTCCTCTCCCGTTTGCTTAGTAGCAGGTCTTGCTCCATCAGAACAAACACAGGAAGAGCAGAAGGCTAGACTGGGCAAGGGAAGCGTCTGTTCTTTGTTGCAGAGAGGGCGTCAGTATGGCTGCTGGGCTGTCTTGCTTGAGTCAGGCCACTGTGGAGGGGCACCCTGCTGATCAATTGGCTCATAGGTGCTGCGGTCATGGCTTGCACGGGTGACACCTGAATGGAGATGGAAGAGAACAAGCTTAGGAAAAAAACCCAAAAGCACAAGAACAGCATCCCCTAGAGGAAACCAACAGCTCAGGAGCACACCACATTAGCTGCTCTACCCACTCCCCAGCACTTGTGTTCTGTGATCCTTACTACACAGGCAGGAGGTAAGAAAACTCATCCTTCCAACAAAGGCAAAATAACTGAGATGCATTTGAACACGCCTCTTCATTCCCTGAGAACTGCTCTCTTAGTAGCCACATGGCTGTGTGGAAACAAGACCCACAATGCTACATAGCGGCATAACAGGCTCCTGTAATAGCATATTTCAGCAAGATCAAGTTTATGAGATCTAGTGGAAAAATGGACAAAATCAGAAGCAGCAGGAACCATGGGTAGCTGACAGCATAGATCTAAGAGGATGATTCAACCATGAGCCATTCTTCCCAACAATGCAGCTATGCCTCAAGCATGCCACACCATGGCACTAAATTTGAATCCAGTAGTGCTCCCAATTGCACTATGAACAATTTGCCTGTGGTATAAGAATGGTACAAAATCATGTTACTGTGCAGGGGATGAGCAGGGAAGTAAGAGAGACGGACAGAGAATGTGCATGGAAAGCTCTTTATCTAGAGGACAGGCACCTGCAATGTCTAGGAAGCAATCTGAATCAAAGGTGGGTACCAAATCATATTAGAGGCTTGTTCTGTGTAGCAAGGATGCTGCCAAGCAACAAAAAGGGATTTTGTGTAGAAAGAAAATGAGACAGAGAACACCAGGAAAAATGCAACACTGTTAGGTGCAAAAGGAAAATGCCAGACAGCAGGAAAATGAGAGGAAATTTGTCAACCACATTCAACAAAACAAGAGCACACAGTTTATACTGAAAATCTTGTGAGGAAGACAGTTCAGGAGAGGATATGAAACTACGAAGTGTCTGAATTCCAACCTGTGCCTGAGAGGAGACTCAGACAGTATCATTCCTGTGTTGGGATAGTGTGGTTGAAAAGGAGGAGTGCTCCCAAATTCCAAGCAAAGGGATGAACTCCTCAATGATACCTATACTTTCCATGGGATAAAAGGGCCCTCTGACCCAGTTAAGACAGATCTGTTTGGCATTTGCACAAATAGCTGATGGAGAAGATGTCCACGTTCCACTAGCAGAGAGATGCAAACAGCACATGGTGCCCCAAGCCACGATTTCCTTCCATGGCCTCTCCTCCTCTGCAGGTATCCACCCCTCTGCACAGGGTGCGTTACCTTGCTTGCTTGCACCAAAACAGCACAAGTGACAGCTTTCAAACATTGTAATGCAGTTATAACATGCTTTGTCCTGCACAGCCTTCTTAGGAGGGCAAAAAGAACTGTGCCAGGCTGCTGGTTTTGCCAGGGTGAATTCCCACACAGCAAACAATCCCTGGCAGCTGTCCTGGTGTGAACTAGCACCAGGCGTGCTTGGCAAAGCTGACTGAGACCACATCAGCTGAACATCCAACCACAGCCCCTTCTCTCTGGCAAGGCTGCCACATGATCATTAGCAAGTATGACCAGGAGAAAAATTAGTGCCTCCAGGCAAAGTCCCACAAGGTAAACATCAGTCCAATTTTCCAGGTGAGGAAATGGAGGTCCAAAGCAATCAAGGTAGGTAGGACATGTGAGGCTCAGAGAAAGCATGGAGTTAGAAATCCTGTTTCTTTCCCTCTCATGCATAATCCAGCTAGAGGGGATGCTGCCTCTACTTTCCCCCAGAAAGATAAGAAAGGGTTGGCAAAAAGAAAAGGACACCCAAAGGCTTCCAACAAGCACACACAAATGCAGGAGGAGGAAGAGGAAAAGCCTCGGTTTTGAGTAAGAGAGCCAGCAGTGCTATCAATACCATTGCGGGCAAAATGGCTGTCAGACGAGGACTCCAGGTCTGCAAGGCAAGAGAGGTAGAATGTAAAATTAAGGCCTAAGGGACACAGTAACCACAAGATAGGAGAACAGACATGAGCAAGAGAGAGCAAGCATCTCCTCTCCCTGAAAAGGGAGGCAGAATCCAGCTGCACAGAGCTCAGACTGAAGGGTCCAAAATGCAAGGCAGTCTCCCTAACACCAGAGGTGGCCCACACTGATGCGGAAACAGAGGAAGCATCCTACCTATGTTAAAGGTGTACTCTCCTCCACGCTCCTGATACATTCGATACGCCAAATAGCAGGACACAGGTTTGAGGAGGAGGCTGAAGATAGCCATGCCTGCACTGAAACGCTGCACGTCAATGAGATACTTGTTTGAAGGGTAGAAGACAGAGATGTGAATGATGTCTGTGAGGACTGTGAGCAGCAGGCCAGTCAGGAACTGTAAACAAAGAGAGAATGAGACATGAACTGAATAGGGGATTAACCACTAGGAGTAACAGTCAGTTACAGCATCTGTTTCCTGTGAGATCTGTGTTCACACAATCATGCCTTCACCCCAGTACCACACATTGCTAAGCCCTGACACTGCCCCAGATACCCACAGGTTCCTAAATTAATGATCCTGTATTTAGTGCATTTTTTTTCACATCTGTCAGACACCTTATGGTATCTCTTCTAATGTTCAGAGAAGGGTTTTATAAAGCCCCTCCAACTCAAGCATATTAAACACTTCAAGTCCTCCCCTGGCCTTACAAGTCACAACAGCAGGTAAAAAAAATAAGAATCAAGTATGCCTCACCTCTGAGAACCAAAATAAGCGACAGTGAACATGTCTCACAATGGTTTAGAGGGCTTATAAATTTATATGCTCCCTTAAAAAAACCCAAAACAATCCAAACAGGGAATTTGACTTGTTCGCTGCTGTATTAGAAACAGCTGAAAATGATCACTGACTCAAAGAAGCTGTCTCTGCCCTCCACCCTCTCCCTAAGCAGCCTGGTGGGGGCAAATACCCTCACACTCACCATCATGATGGCATCAAGGGAATCTCGCTGCACAATGGCCCAGATCCCCACTGCAAGGACACTGAAATTTCCCCAGGCATAGGAAGCTGGAAACATGTAATTCATGCATCCCCTGCCAAACAAGACAAAAAAACCCCAGCCCACATTCACAATAAGCCTGCAAGAGTTTGTTTGCATTCATCCCTGTTCCCATACAAACACCTCACTCTTAGATTTCGAATTTATTGCACACAGACAAACAGGAAGTGCTGATTCCCCGAGAATGTCCCATTCCTAATTTGAAGGAATACCTTCTTCTCACCCAGGCCAGGACAGTTACCAATCACTCACCACACTGTGAGCAGCCAGTGTACCAGAATGATGGCCTATGAAAAAAAAACAGAGAGGAAGACAGGTCAGCAAGTTGGAAGAACTGTGGGAGAATCGACGTGAAATGACACCATTTTGTTTCTGAGGGATGGGTGGAAGAGCGCCCTGGACCTGTGAACCAGTGCAGAAAGCTGGCGTAGCAGCTGGGACAGTGAAGAGACAAACCCATTTTTCTCTGCTTCTGTTGCTGAGTATTTCCTGTGGTGCTACGCTGTAGTCATTCATTATTGTTGTCATCTCCGTCGACAGTTGATTCAGGGCTCACTTAGTCTTTTCTAAATGGGTTATTGATTTTGGAACTCCAGAAGAGTTTGTACAGAAAGCCAGGCAATCTTATTCACTCTATGCTAGCACAGTTTATACATGACCAATTTGGCATCCCATCACCAAGAAGTCCATGGAAAGTCATGCCTGCAGCTCCCAGCAATTTTACTCCAGTCCTCAGTAAATCTTCCTCTTATCTCCTTCCAGTTTGTTCAGAGCAGTGGTTCAACCTCACTGCAATATTAAGAGACCTGGAGGCATCTTCTAGGAACCTGAGAACCCAATCCTGCCATAATACACAGCTCTTTTCATTCTCAGTAAAGCCACCGGGGTCCAAATACCAGCAGTGCCCTAAGTAGCAACGAGATAATGCTGTCACAGATTCTGTACTTTGCAAATGTCCTTAATGATCCTGATCCTTGTGCTCAAGGGGACAAATCCAAGAAGAAAGCATCTTAACTGTAACAAGTGACACAAGGATTCTCTTCACCAGCACTTGACATTTCTGTAACCAAGGAGACATACTCTACATGTTTATTAAGACAGCAAATGGGAACAAGAATATACCACTTCAGTCTTTTTCTGTACATATATCCATGTGCTCACTTGCTTTTGAGCCTGCTAGCCAATCTCAAGAAAGGGAGATCACTCATATTCACTCTCTAAACATTTGTGAAAACAAGAATATTGGAGACAGGCTCTATTAGCAGCCTCATAAAGGAAAGGCTGAAGCCTGAACATATCACAGGATCCATGGGAAACAGGCACTCTTGCATTTTTTCTAGGTGTGAGAAGGGCTCCAAGTGGCATTTATACTGACCTCGGTATAAAAAAAAAAAAACAAACCAAAAAACAACCACACCACCAAAATCCCTCTGAAGCACACTCCCCCCACACTCTCCCTCCCAGAAAAAAAGGGGAAATGAGTAAGTATCAAAAAGCTAAATTACTCTGTGGACACAGGAAAGCTGTATGCAGATAGGAGCATTGAGACATAAAAAAAAAAAAAAAATTAATTCTTACTGACATTGCTACGTTTACTGACTTAAAACCATACTCTAACTTAATACAAAACTAGTTGCTTGAGAAGAGAGTTAATAACCAATGAAGCTGTGACATGAGTAAAGTGTAGCCAGGAAATCAACAGGAGTGACGTGCCTGCTGTGGCTTATACTGCTCTGCCAAGATATCACAATGTAGACAGCTGATAAGACAGAGCTCTTGCTTCACTTCAGTACCCTAGCACATCTGCTGAGCATTCACTCTGAGTAGCCTAGACTTTGTTGTAACTTCAAACACTGCTTAAACAGATTTTTATTAATGATTTTTTTAAACTGTTCATGAAAGCCTACAAAATGCTTCATGACCACCCCCCACCTTCCCTTCTCCCCAGTTGTACCATGGAGACCAGGCAGAAACTGCTAATCAGTAACATACAAGATGTTCTTGCATAAGAATGTCGACATGCAAATAGCATTTACTCAAGAGACCACAACATCAGGGAAATTCTTAATTAGGTAGTATTTAATTGCATGTTACATACCCTCAAGACCCCTCAAGGCTCACCAGTTAACATAATTAGGCAGGGTGGCTTTTTTTTTTTAAAGCTGTCTAGATTAATATTGCAGTTCTTAAATTATGAAGCAAGCTCAGTCATCAGCATAAAGTCAGCTGAACTAGGGCTGATACAAAACCAAGACATTCATTCCCTTCCTGGTTATTAGTCCAATTTACCTGACAGTTCTTCAGGGCACTGTAGAATTACCTGGTGGTTTTGGTATGCTTTAACATAGAAAATGTAGTGTTAATGAAAAACATTCTTTAAAGCTCCAGTCACTATCTGAGATTAGGTAATTTACAGGCAGTCTCCTGATGAGACAGCAGAAGCATTCAAAGATTTTCCATCTGTTCAAGGACTTCAGTCTGTACCTAAGGCAGGCATGTATTTCTGCTTTTGAGAAAGTAACTCCTAAGACTTGAACTAGTGCTGAGAGCAGGAAGGTGGGACCTTTCTCCCCATACCTTCTGGGCAAAAAGATGACCATGGGATTAAAAACATCCCATTAGAGATTGGGGAGAGCTAAGGGGAATTCCTAGCTCCTCTGCAAATCCCAGCATGTGATGGAACTAATTGTGAAGAATAAAAAGAGGCTGGATCTGCCTCAGTCTCGTTAGATGGGAAACTCAGTTTCAGGAACTCACTCCTTTAAACGTGCTTCAGCACAGAACCTAGCATAAGGCTGAATTTTGACTGTTAAAAATGACATGGTTCCAAATTACACTTATTTTCTCGTAGTATCTAACTTTTTTTTTTTTTTTTTTTTTTTTTTTTTTGAGTGAGCTCATCTACTCTGAGTGACATACTCACCTGAGGATATACTAACCAAAATACAGATCTGAGTGGCCACCTGTGAGGATGCTCCTCATTATTGTAACAGAGGGATATTAATGAGAGTGCTTAGACTCTGGAACAGACTATCCAATGGGTTTGTCGTGGTTCTATCCTTACAGATTTTTAAAAGTCAGCTGAATTTTGAGTTGAGCTATTTGATCTAACTTTGAAGTTAGCTTTGCTTTGAGCAGGAGATTGGACTAGATGACATACAGAGGTCTCTTTTAATCTAACTTATTCTCTCATTCTGTGACCTAGCATTTAAAAATGCCCGAGCACAAAACGTATGTTTCCAGGCACATGGATTATAGGGCATTGTCCAGGCTTGATCAAACTCAAACTTTGCATGTCGAGGCTCTGCACAGTTATTGCAATAATCCTAGGTGTCAAGCATTCACTGCAAAAATATGGCTATGCTGCTTCCCACATGCTTTGCTGAGCATTACTATTAGACCTGAGCCAGTAGCTGCTGTTTCATGAGTGTGTTCCTCATCCATTCTAGGGCAAAGCCTGCTACATTAATTTTATAGCTCTGCAAGTAGCTTAAAGAGAGACCTCAAGGCTAAGACGTTGCTATGTTCTGGCACAAACATGGCTCAGTCATGCAGTTTTCTTGGACCTACTTCTATCACAACGCTCATCTTTTTTAATCTCACAGAAACTGTAAGCAGATCATGCCAATTGAATAGCAGTAGTGCGTGTTACTTCCAGTCCCTTTCTGAATAAGAATCTTTCCCACCTTTGTGGTACATTTCAGGGAAGCAGGCCCTAACTCAAGAACAGTACAAAGATGCAGGTACAATTAACTCCCTATTCCCCAGCTCTTCAGCCCCAGAGCAGTACCGGCAGACTTGACAACAAGGAATTTCTTAATGCTGAAAACAGTTTGCCTGGGACAAGCTCACTCTTATCTAGGAAGAGATTTGGGAACGGTTGTCTGAAACCAGAGAAGAAAGGCAACATTTTAGTTGTGTTGTCATAGTGGCTCATTCATTCAAGAAGTCTGTGTTTTTCGGCTCCCCTATCTCCACCTGCCATGATAGAACACGCATGTCATGTTGGCAAACTTTGAAATTAAATGTCCTTATTTTTCATTGTTGTTTTAGCATTGGGGGGGGGCAAAATCAAACCAAGTTAAAAAACAAAGCAGAAGGCAAGATCTTTTAATCTTCCTAGTGCCCCGAGAATCACACAATAGTCCAAACTTGTCAGAGCAAAGTATCAGCTAGTTTCCAGAATGTAATATAATCCACATGCCAGGCCTTGAAAAATCCATTTGCTTACTTGCCTCTAATATGGGAAGTTGCTTTTCTCAGTGCACGAGTAAGAGGAGACATCATTATATGGATGCTAAGCCTTTATTTAGCACAGCCACATGAAAACCTTCCTGTACAGAGCTGAATTCATAACGGTAGCTGAGATACTACTAAACTCCCACCCAGCCTGTAGGCAGCCTGCTCCAAGGCCACTGCTCACAGCTTTATGAATTAATAGCAGAAAAAACCTGATGTGATCAGTTATGCTTTCATTCTCTGGGCAAAGTTTTAACCAATGAAAGCACCTGAAACCTGCCATACCAAACAAGACACACGAAGTAGTGAAGCTGGAAAAAAAGGCACACACACCTAGAAATCTCAGGGCTCTGAAAATATGAAAGACAAAAAAACAGGAAAATTTCACCTGTCTGGTACCAGGCAAGGCTTCAATATTAAACACCAACATCAAAAGCAAAAAAAGTCATTTTAGCATCCTCTAACTTCTCCACAAGGATGCGCTTCTTCCCAAAGTGAAAAGTGTTAACATAACTGTGATGAGTCCCTTATTTCCCCATTTCTTTGGTTACCAATATTCACAGAAATTTTCAAATTGCGCCCAGTTGAAGTCCCCCCACCAACAAAGCAATTTCAATTATCTACCAGGTGATAACCCCAAAGTAAATGGGATCATCTTTCTAAGATTATTTTGCCTGACAAGCAAAAACTTTGCCTCCTCAGGATCTTGTGTAGTGTTTATCCTGGATTAGCTCTGGTCAGCTGAGCTAGAAACCTCCACGGACACTAGTTAATAACCAGCTGTTGTCCCAACACAGTCTTTGGCCACTTTAGCAACTGCCCTGAAGGAAAAGAACCTTGGAGTCCTTGCCTGCTGGGCTTAATGACCTACAGCTTTTGCAACGTTTGCCCGTATGATGAAAAATGTTTAGAAACACCAGTCTTTCCTCCTCGGAGGCCTCCACACCTCCTGACGAGGCCCTCAGCCAGGTCCTCGA